AAATACTGTACTCTGCAAGTATCCTTGTAAACACAGCTGCTTATGGCTTAGGTGAGGGTAATAAATTGAGAAAGAAAATGGATGTGTAACAGTATATTGGTTCACAGCAGTTTAATGTTCCTGTTGCTTTCTCTGTCATGAACGTTAATCAAAAAACAAAACACAAAGACACAAACAAAACACTTTTGTCGCTTTAACACAGATTTTGTTAAATTGAATTTATAGTGAAAACTATGCAGTGTTATTTTACATTTGATTATTCAATTTCTGTACCTGAATACTGTTAGACTTACCTGAAAAATATAAAGCACTGCTTATTTCATTTGTCTTTGTTCTGTTATTTATCTATGCTTGTGATTTGTTTATTTCCTATGCTGATTTACTCGCCTACAAAATCACCCCAATCATTGATTTTTTTTTTCTAAATAGAGCTATTGAAGTCATCTGATTTCTTTTTCATATCGCAATATATATTGCAATAAAAAAAATATCGCAATGTGAGTTTTTTTCCAATATCGTGCAACCCTAGTTAGTACACTGTAAGATAAATGGAAAGGATACTAGTAATTTTTCAGGACATTATCCATTATCCATTGTAACCCTGTAACCCGAAAACACAATGTGTAGTTTAAAATGCAGGTAAAAAACCAACACGGAAAATTCTTTAATATTAACATAGTAGATTGTGCCCTATTCTTACAGGCTTTTCTTAGAGTGTAGCATACTAACTGACTACTAATACACTGCTTAAAGCATAATTGTTGAGAATGTGTAGTATTACTAGTTTACTAGCTATTAAAAAAACTTAAATTGTTATCATTCAAAATGTGTAAGTGTTCAATAATTCAATGTATTTAAAGGGGTCCTATTATGCTCTTTTACAAAGTCTTGATTTTGTTTTGGTGGTGTACTAGAACAGGCTCTCATACTATAGCCTTCGTGTGGAGCCGGTATCCTCCTGTGTTCTCACCTCAAATGGGTAGAAGCACTGAGAGGCCCCAGTTTAGTGTCGGCTTGCTAAAACTGTTCCAGAGAGTCCATACTGTAGACCCTGTAGAGCTCCTCCATCCCCTCGGCAGCCAGACGTGGCGGAACGTCCGGTGCCAGGCCCTCACTCAGTGAATCCGTGAGAACCGGTAGAGGGGTGGGTTCCATAAGTAGAGACCTAATTGGATCCTATATGTGTAAAGTCCACGGTATAGCCTCAGAGCCTGTGTTTCCCCGGCAGACTTACAATCACCTCTAATCTTCCATATGCACCTAAATGGTTGTTCATATGCGTAAGTGCTTCCGAAAACTCCTTCGGAAAGGATGGGGCTTCCGCAACGTTCCCGTTCCAAGTGGAAAAAGGGGAGCAGGAGGCTCGCACAGAACACTGGAAGGGGCAGCATCCATGGCGTTTTGGTAGGGATCCCAATTCTGACCGACCGAAAGGGAATGTCTCGGTTACGTATGTAAACCTCATTCCCTGAAGGAGGAAACGGAGACGTCACGTCCCGTTGCCACAGCTGCTGTGTATGCTGTGTAAAACCTGAGTATGCGTTGCACCTGCTGCCTAGTTATACTCACGCTGTGATCAGCGGCAGCTGGATGCAATCATCGCATGCCAATGTGCATTGGCTCGTTTAGTTTACACTCAAAGTGGATTGGTCTCTCTAAGCGAGATCCCAATTCATCGGTCATTACCGACGTGACGTTCCCTCCTTCAGGGAACGAGGGTTACATACGTAACCGAGACGATTTCTTGAACGCAATGATCAGAAGTGTTTAAGTTAGAATCCACTCACCTCTTAAAATGCTGAGTTTTTGTCAAGTGAAGAGTTTATTTGCAAAAACAGATAACTCCATATTTTTTTTTACATTTTCAAAAATCATGTTTTTTTTAATTATGTTATCATGTTTTATTGTGTTTTATTGTGTTAGTTAGCTGTATTTTTTGTTATTTTTTAACCTAATCAAAATAACCCAACTGCAGTTTGATTGAGATTAATTGGAATGCACAATGAAAAAAACATGATTTTTGAAAATTGTTAAAAACTGAGTTATCTGTTTTTGCAAATGAACTCTTCAAGTGCTGAATCCTCTCTTTATAACAAAGTGGAATCCTCTCATTATAACAAAGTGTAGATACGACGTAAATAAGAGATTCTTTGTTCAGTGTAAAGATTTTATTAACAGAACATCGTGAGAGCGCAATGAACTTAAGTGAGTGATTATAAAGTTCCTTTATAATCAATAAACCTCTTATGTCATGTTATAGTGAGAGGATTTGTAAGCGTGCATTCCAGCATTTAGAGGTGAGTGAACGCAATGGCCAATCACTGGTGTTCAAGAAATCAACAGATATATCTGTGATTGGCTACATTAATTGCTCAGCGCTATGAAAACATGTTGTAAATAAAAGCTTTTGGCAATTTCCAGATTGCAAACCCAAATGCGCACCGGAGCCTTTACCAAATCTGTTTCGCCAGTATCCTATTATTATAGTGTTAACTGAGGGTGCTTTTGACTGCGTGAGAAAATGGATGTGTGGAGTGAGACTGTGAGAAAAGTGTAAATTGCATGAGTCTCATGCTGAATGCGTGAGAGTTGGCAGCCCTGTGATATACTATGAGATAGTGCTGGGCGGTATGACCAAAAATGTATATCACGGTATTTTTTCAAAATTATACCGGTTTCACGGTGCATGACGGTATTTTTTTTTCATGCATGACCGGGTGTTAACCATATTTTCTACTGATTGAGAGGAAATACTGCAGTATATTGACTTAGAATGCCCTATTTTACTGTCATGATGAGTGAATATTGTCAAAAATACCACACTAAATAGTGACTAAACACGACCCCTTTTAATACATGTTAACCAGGAGTCACTCTCATTTATAATCGCGGCATCGTCTGATAAAATCAACATGCATCTACACTAAAGAGCGGCTATGCGGTTGTTTTGGCTATATTACTTTTTTGTCTCATGCAGCGCACTGCCTGCGTCTGAGTAACAAACAGATAAAACAAAAAAAGTGCATGTAATATTAACAGACGAACTACGCTCATATTTATAATTCCAAACAATCAGTAAGCGACAGGTGCTAGGAAACGCTGTTTTGTACTCATTTATTGACAAGTTGGCTGCGGTGCGGCAAACTGAATGCGCAGCTTCTCTGCCGCTCACTGCACAGAACAGACGCAGAGAGAGGTGACACTTCTCCGGGAAAGTCAGACCTCGCGTTCGCGGGACAGCACTGGCGAAATCTTCCAACTGAACCATAGCTAAGGTTTATCCAAAAAAGTCGCTAGGTTTGTCAATATGAATATTCTATGGAAAAAAGCCGCTAAAAGGGTCTGAAAGTTGCTAAATCTAGTGCTAAAGTCGCGCTCGTGTGTGTGAGACGCGGGAGCTGATGGCAGGGGGCGGTGGATATTTGTGGCGGTCAATGTGGATATTGTGGATGAGTTCTTCTGTGTCATCATGTTCTATTAGTTCTACAGCTTCAGTTTCGGAACTTTCATGCTTAGTAACACATACAGCTGTTCCCTCACCACAGTGCAACAGTGAAAAGGGACCCCTTTCAAACAGTGTCGCGTTCCGACCGTTGTTTAAGCGACATACACCGGTATTGCGGTATTTTAAAAATTCATACCATAACAAAAATAAACACCGGTATTCGGTATGAACCGGTATACCGCCCAGCACTACTATGAGAGCAAGCAAGCAAAATAAGGGTTAGGCGTAAAAGAGCACATAGTTATTGTGTTGGGGCCCCATACCTGGAATATGCTTAGGGCCCCCAACTCCCTAAGTCCGCCCCTGTCTCTAACCTCTTTAAGTCAGCAATTATTGTGTGATTGAATATAACTTGTTCCAAAATCTGCACCCACAGAACTCAGCAGAAAGATCTGTAGAACTGGAACACTAATCCTTTTTTATTTTACTGTAATTTCATTAGCCCACCTCCTGCTTCATGTCATGCATACCAAGCCTAACAAACTATGGAAATACCATATCATTTCTGTGTCAATGGAAAATGTAAAACAACATTTAAAACAAAATTCATTTGAAATTGAAAAGAAAATCATTGTAACACATCCAAGTATTGTTAGTAGCGTTTCACCATACCCTTACCAAAAAGTAGTATACTTCAAGTTTATTTTATTAAGTATACTTAAGTAAAGTTCAAGTATATTTTTAAGTATACTTTATGTAGTAAGTATACAAATATCAGTGTACTAGTAGTATACTTGTAAGTGTACTATTTCAATACTCCTTGGGACTAAATTGGCCCACTTTCTAGTATATAAAAGTATACTTTTAAGTATAACAATAGTAAACTACGAGTACACAACTAGTTTACATAGAAGTATACTAATAGCACACTTGAATAAACTTCTTTTTCGTAAGGGATACTCTTGTGATTGTTGCTTTGGTCAAGCAGGGATGATCTGACCAAAGCGAGAGCCACTGGCTGCATTGTTTTCTGTGGCGTTCACCATGTTGCTAACTGTTAATGATTTCTTACAGACACGCGGTGTTTTCTCTCCAGGTGGCGCTGTGATGCTCACGAAGCAGCTCCTTCACCGATTCACATTCAAATCTGTCATTTTTGCGAGTACAAACAGTAGATTAAAACGTAAAACGTTTAAACTAGCAATTTGAGGTGCATCCCCTGACAAACAAATGGAAATAGTCGTCGCAAATCTCTATTTAATTATTAAATAAAAGACTTTCGCCAGTAATCGGATGACTGTTACTGGTTCATTGTGACCAGCTCTGAGGAAAGTAACAGGAACCATGTGACTCTAGACGCGTGCTGCTTCAGCAGTACGCCATGAAAAACCATTTGATGTCAATGGACACATTTTAATAGACAATGCAATTTAAGGTACACAGTGAAGAAACGAAAATCGGAAAATTGTGTAAATCCGTCGTATCTGACCAATTTGAGACAGTGGATCGGCTAAGCCCCGCCCACTCCCCGACTGTGCTGCTGATTGTCCTTCTCTGCGCTGATTGTATTTCTATGGATTCTAGCTGCTTGTGCGGTTGACACAAATCTGGACAACAACAATAGCCATACATTATTATTTGGTTGATTTATTTCCGGTATGAGCTCGTGGCTCGCAGCAGCGCACTCGTCGGGACTGTATCGGTGAAGGCTCGGGGTTCGGTGAAGATGGGTCTCAGGAGGACCGTGTTCTTCTGCTTCTTGTTCTCGCTGATGCTGGCTCTTCACGGCAGCCGCAGGAGACACGCGCGCTGCCCCGCTTCATGCACCTGCAGCAAAGATAACGCCTTGTGTGCCAATACCGGATCAATACCGAGGAGCTTCCCGCCTGATGTCATCTCACTGTAAGCGCAGCAACAATCACGAGCAATAGCAATACTGATCATCGGTCAGCTTCAGTTTGTGTTTAGAGGTTGGTTGAAATATATTTCTATTTATGTATTATTATTATTTATTTTTATTTTTTTACAGATCATTCGTCAAGTCCGGCTTTAATGAAATCCCTAAAGAGAGTTTCATTCACACGCCAGCCCTCCATCTTCTGTAAGACTCATCAGCATCATTACATGACTCAAACACACACACACACACACACACACACACACTCTCACACACACACACACACACACACACAAAGAGAGAGAGAGAGCGAGCGTTGTTATAGATGTCAACCCATGCTTTGTCTGATCAATACAGATTGTATGTAAATATAATGCATTATAATGGTGTTCATAATACCTTATCAGACGTGCTTACACCTTAAATGAGTAAAATGCATTATAAAAATAATCAACATATAACAGTGTTATGCATTATACCTATAATACAATCACCAGACAATAGGTAAGCTTATAAATGTTATAAATATGAAATCTCCAAACCAAGACAGTTTATAACCAAATTTGGTTACACTTTATTTTAAGGTGTCCTTGTTACAGTGTAATTATACATTTAAGTACCACACACACACACACACACACACACACAAAGAGAGAGAGAGAGCGAGCGTTGTTACAGATGTCAACCCATGCTTTGTCTGATCAATACAGATTGTATGTAAATATAATGCATTATAATGGTGGATACACAATACAGTCAGACGTGCTTACACCTTAAATGAGTAAAATGCATTATAAAAATAATCAACATATAACAGTGTTATGCATTATACCTATAATACAATCACCAGACAATAGGTAAGCTTATAAATGTTATAAATATGAAATCTCCAAACCAAGACAGTTTATAACCAAATTTGGTTACACTTTATTTTAAGGTGTCCTTGTTACAGTGTAATTATACATTTAAGTACCGAGTAATATTAATTAACTACATGTACTTACTATATGGTTAGGGTTTGTCTTAGGTTTAATTGCATGCAATTATGCATAATTAAGTGTTATTATAATAATAAGTACATGTGTAACAAGGACACCTTAAAATAAAATGTCACCCCAAATTTAAACGGTTTTACTATATGCTATGATATTAGCAACATACTATGGTATTTTGTCAGAAGCTGTGGTTATCATGGTACATTTTGCAAGGGTAATTAGTTCAATGTAGTTAGTGTAGAGTGTCCACACTGATGTAGAGCTGCATCTGTTCATGGACCAGTCTCTTTATAGTGAATAGAGAATGGGAATCTAATATGTAAATATCTTTAAATAAATAAAAAATTGCTCTGTTGTTTGTCTGAGAGGCTGCAAGTATTCATGACTAGTTAGTCTCCTTCACTACAGTGGTACTGATGTAGGCTAACTGCTAAAACACTTATGAAAATAAACCATGGTTTTACTGTAGTAAATGTGTAGCCCGTGTTTTTGGCATATTTATATCACAATTTTATTAGAAATACCACGGATAGACTATGGTTAGAGCAGCAAAACCATGGCTAATTTTGTAAGGGGAGAATACACTATAGCTAGATCTCAAACGGTGGATCATTTGTGGCCCTGGATCACAAAACCAGTCATAAGGGTACATTTTTGTAAATTTTTTGATTTATGCATCATCTGAAAGCTGAATAAATCATCTTTCCATTGATGTATGGTTTGTTAGGATCGGACAATATTTGAAAATCTGGAATCTGAGGGTGCAAAAAAATCTAAATATTGAGAAAATCATCTTTAAAGTTGTCCAAATGAAGTTCTTAGCAATGCATATTACTAATCAAAAATTAAGTTTTGATATATTTACGGTAGGAAATTTACAAAATATCTTCATGGAACATGATCTTTACTTAATATCCTAATGATTTTTGGCATAAAAAGAAAAATCAATAATTTTGACCCATACAATGTATTTTTGCTATTGCACATTTATCATTGTTCTATATCATCATATTGCCCAGTAAAACTGCTCAGTGTTAAGAATTAAATATTGAGAAAATCATCTTTAAAGTTGTCCAAATGAAGTTCTTAGCAATGCATATTACTAATCAAAAATTAAGTTTTGATATATTTACGGTAGGAAATTTACAAAATATCTTCATGGAACATGATCTTTACTTAATATCCTAATGATTTTTGGCATAAAAAGAAAAATCAATCATTTTGACCCATACAATGTATTTTTGCTATTGCACATTTATCATTGTTATATATCATCACATTGCCCAGTAAAACTGCTCAGTGTTAAGAATTATGCCATTATAGAGGTTTGAAACGATGTGTATTGTGGATGCTATGCAGATAAATACCTTGACTTGAATGAACCAAGTTGAAGATTCTTACTATTAGAGATGCTGAACAACGATGCAAGCGATCAAATAAATGAATGAATTAAACTTAATCCATACAAACAAGTGGCCGGGTATCAACGAGCTGCCGCAAGATAGCATTTCCATGTATGATTTTCTTCTGTTTGTGGTGTGAGGGCTTACAGTTTAATGCAAATCACTATCTATAATATAACAAATCTACAGAGATGAATTATAAAGCCACATTTTATTTGAGTTGTTTACCATACCGAGTTTCAGTTTAACTTTCATCCGAGTTCCGTAGTTAATGTAGACATTTTATATTATTTTATGTTTATATGACTCAACGCTTACTGTATCATCAATTGCCATAGCCCTTATCAATGTCTGCATGAAAACCTCTGCTTTTTTGGCTTTCTAACGCAGAAAAAGCATGTTTTTCACACCGGCCGTGCAAAGGGCTATGGCAATTAATGATACAGTAAGCCTTAACCACTATAACGTGATCTTAAGTAGAATAATATAAACATTAAATAATATAAAGCGTCTACATTCACTACTATTCAGTCTCCGCTCTAGCTAAATTCCCAGAATGCATTGCCGCTGTGACGACACAGTCCTATTCTCTATACAAGGAGAGCACGGCAATTTTAATAATTAGCATTATTTTAAAATATATTCCTCACACAGTGTTATTTAAAATAGCTAAAGACCTTCACTAAGCTAAACAGATAAAAAATAAAAAATAAAAAAACCTTACTCAAGCACATGCGAGAAATGTTACTTTGAAATTTTACTGGGACACATTTATTGATAAAACAGAACAGCTAGTTCTTGGAAAATATGATTGAAAATATATTCTATAAAGTATATAATGGGATAAATGTTATATTATATATCTTCCCTACTTGAGAATTTATGTCCCAGTTAGCCAAGAATACTGTACATTATCCTAAGCTGGCCAATAAACTGCTGCCCAACGTTTTAAACGATATATTTTTTTAAAATCTGATTCACTGTTATATGCTATATCAAAATATTTCATAATAATCTACTCAAAATCACATTTTGCTATTGCATAACCTTACTATTATTGGACTCTTTACCTTTGTCATGTCTGAAACCACAGCTGTCAAAATGTGGTGACACCTCCTGAAATGTAGAAACCTTCTGTGTGTGTGTGATCCCATACTTTCAGATCAATGTAATGCTGATTTTTAGTACTGCAATCACAAACCTATACAGAGACAAATACCCCTCAGTGTCCCACTATATGAGTTCTTCCACTTACCTGTATTCACCCTGTATTATATCTCCTAGACTTTTCACAGCAAACAACTTTGATTCTATAAATGAAGATGCGTTTCTTGGTCTTCCTCATCTGGAGTATCTGTAAGTGTCTCACGGAACGTGATTTTTATGAGTAATAAACACTGCATGAGGAAACATGTTGATCTGATGATTCAACATAACGACTGGAGTCTTCTGCATTGTGCATCAACTTGATTTGCTGTTTGTTTTTCTTCCAGTTTCATTGAAAATAACCAAATCAAGTCCATATCGCCGTTCGCCTTCAGAGGACTCAAGTCCTTAATACATTTGTGAGTATTTCTGCATAATACCGTTGGCATGTTGTTGATCAGTTCTCAGTTCATCCACATTATCTGTCGTTTGCAAGTGAAACATTGCAGTCATAATAGGAACATTTTCTTAGTGGATTATTCATGCTATTTCACTGTTAATAGAAGCAGTCAGCAATCCAGGTTGCATTCTTCATGAGACCTTTGCACAACATAAAAATTGGTAATTTCTCTTTACTGATGAAAGCATTTGGTTCTTTACGAATGTTATTGCAGAAGTTTGGCGTACAATAATTTGGAGACACTACCGAAAGATCTTTTCAAAGGGATGGAAGCTTTGACTAAAGTGTATGTATTCAAGTGTGTGATGTTTTAGCAATGCAACATCATTTAAATAACTGTCCGTGATTTAAGAGCTTGATTGTCTAGACGGGATCTCTTTGCATTTGTCCAGGGATCTGAGAGGTAATCTTTTCAGCTGTGACTGTAAGTTAAAATGGTTAGTCGACTGGATGTTTCATACAAATGCAACTGTGGATCAGATCTTCTGCAATGGCCCTGAAGCTTACCAGGGCAAGAAGATCAATGACCTTGTGGCGCAGTCATTTGATTGCATAACAACAGGTTGGTAATATTACAGACCGCTTTGTGTTTTCTTGACTCTAAATGGAAAAAAAGGCTTAACATTTGTTTTTTGTTCTACAGATTTTTCGTTGTTGAAGTCTCTTGACTTTCAGTCCATTTCAGTCGAGGCTTTTGGATTTGGTGGTGACCAGTTTGTCGTGTTCGGCCAGCCTTTCGTTGGCAGGTGCAGTTTCATGGAATGGGATCACGTGCAAATGGAGTTCAGGAACTTTGATAATATCACAAGTAAGCAAACAGCAGTGGAACTGTTGTGTACATGCCTAAATCTAAATCATATAATAATACACACAATACTGTTTCCAGACGGTTTCAGCTCTTATAGTTGATTCGGTTTCATTTATAACACAAACTTGTTCAGCAAAATAATTTTTTTTAGGGCTGCCCTCGACTAAAGATTTTTCGGATCGACTAATAATTAGTCGACTAATCACACGTTTATATTAATAAACCATATAATTCATAATAATGACCCTTTAATTGCCTATAGCCTTTCAGTGCTCAAGCGCACACATAAAGCTTGCCACAGCGCACCGGCAGAAGTAATGATTATGAATGCGTCAGGGAAAAACAGTAAGGAGACTGCCTTAACATTATAATAATTCATTGATTGATGTTTTCTGTATTTTCGGCTGCAGTGATGAAGTCGACATCTCCACAGCTGACGTGCATGTTTCATACAAATTACATAATCTGAAAATATTTGTTTTCCAGTTGAATTGGTTCATTTAAATGTAGACATTTCATATCTGTGAGGCAAAAACAGTTTCGGTTCTTTTTTTTTTTAGCGTATTTGATGCATATTTGATCTGTATGAGCAAAAATGACAAAAAAGTGTTTTAAGTTAAATGCAAATGATCGCACCGCGCTACTGTTTAGTTTCCACACTCCGCACAAACACTTCAGTAGCACACATTTTTAGGTTAATGTTAGAGCGAGCAGCCATGTAATGATGCTGCAATTTACATGTTTCAGATGATAAACCACATTTGAGGTCGATGATCGAAATGAACGTTTGCATGTCCTGACTCTGATGTACTGTAATTAACACATAGACCAGCTGTTAATGATCTGTCCATCACGGACTGCACGACTTCGCCACTTTATGTGTTTTTTTTTTCTTCGACAAAGTTCCGAGCCGGTCTGTTCTGACGTCACACTTACGGCGACTGATAATGTGTTTATGTCGTGCCAGATGAGGCTCGCGCAGCCTGAGTGAGTGTGTGAGAGAGACTCTACAGCACACACAGAAAGTTATAGATGCATACTGCGGTAGTAAAATAATCAGAAATTTATAATATATGATTTAGGTACATTGCACGACCAAAATGTTTCAACACGATTGCAATGTGATTTTATACAATAGTAGTTCAATAAACAAGAATTTAAAATTAAGTGACTTACATTTTAGACACAATATTGACTGTTTTTCTCAGTTTCGCTGATTAAAATAGTTCCAATCAAAGCCACAGCAGAACTGTTTTGTGTCTCCGAGCAACACAGCGGTGTTTCATTACTGACTGAATACACGTTTTTGAACGAGTCAATGATTCAGTAACCCATTCATAAAGACAGTAACTTAGTTACTTGCCTTGTTTCTGAATGAATCAGGCATTTGAACGAATCTGTTTAATGAAGGACTAAATGACTTCAAACGTTCATTGCCATTCATTTGCCGCCACCTACTGGTTTGGTTTCATATTTAAAACTATCATTGCATTTTTCCCAACATTTCGTATTTGTATGTTTAAAAAAAAAACAATTTAGGTAACAATTCTAGTTTCTTATTATTGTTCTAACTGAATTAATTGAAACAATGGAAGATTTTGATGTGAAAGATGACATATTTAATAAGGTTAGTGAAAAAATGACAATTTAAGAAACAGTGGGAAATGACATCTGTTTTGTTATATACAGCAACTCCTTTTCAGTTAATTGTTATTTCAACCTCTTTTCTAGTCACAGATCACTTTATTTTGAGAGTTAAGTTGTTTAACTTTGTTCTGATTGGGGGAATTGTAATGTTTAATATTTTTTATTATGTAAATTTAAATATTAAAAAAGTACAGATTTTTGTTTGTATATGCTGTCAATTATAGTTTTTAGAAAGAAAATCGGAATCGGCAAAAATCGATATCGGCAGGTCACACTTACAAAAAAAAACGGAAATCGGAATCGGCCAAGAAAATTGCAATCGGTGCATCTCTAATAATAAAAATGCATGGCATAATAAACTGGTACTCCATAGTTTTGGTGATTTTCAAGCCTTTGTTTCATACAGCTTTCCTCAAATCTTTCCTCCGTAGGCACTTCCACTGTCATCTGCAAACCTCTAGTCATTGATAGTCAACTCTTCATTATAGTAGCCCAACTGTTCGGCGGCTCGCACATCTTCAAGCGAGATGTCTCCGCAAACAAATTCATCAAAATCCAAGACATCGACATTCTGAAAGTCCGAAAGCCAAATGATGTGGAAATCTTCCACGTCGACGAAGAGTCTTTCTTCATCATAGCTGACAGCTCCAAAGCCGGCTCGACAACTATTTATAAATGGAACGGCAACGGATTCTACTCCCATCAGTCTTTGCACCCCTGGCACCGCGACACGGATGTGGAATATCTAGAGATTTCTGGGAAGCCTCATCTGATCTTGTCCAGCAGCTCTCAGAGGCCGGTCATTTACCAGTGGAGCAAGAGCACTAAGCAGTTCGAACGGCGCACAGATATCCCAGAGATGGAGGATGTGTACGCGGTCAAACACTTCACTGTGAAGAGCGAGCTCTACATATGTCTGACCCGCTTCATCGGCGACTCCAAGGTGATGAAATGGGACGGTAGCATGTTCAGTGAGATCCAGACCATGGCCTCTCGTGGCTCCATGGTCTTCCAGCCGTTCTCGATAGCCGACTGGCAGTACGCCATCCTAGGCAGCGACTACGCCTTTACTCGGGTCTATCGCTGGGATGCAAAGAAAAGACAGTTCATTCAATTCCAGGAACTGAACATTCAAGCTCCCAGGGCTTTTTCTCTGGTGTTTATTGAGAACAGGGAGTTCCTTCTTGGCTCTAGTTTTAAGGGGCAAACACGTATATATGAACACCTGGTACATTGCACGACCAAAATGTTTCAACACGATTGCAATGTGATTTTATACAATAGTAGTTCAATAAACAAGAATTTAAAATTAAGTGACTTACATTTTAGACACAATATTGACTGTTTTTCTCAGTTTCGCTGATTAAAATAGTTCCAATCAAAGCCACAGCAGAACTGTTTTGTGTCTCCGAGCAACACAGCGGTGTTTCATTACTGACTGAATACACGTTTTTGAACGAGTCAATGATTCAGTAACCCATTCATAAAGACAGTAACTTAGTTACTTGCCTTGTTTCTGAATGAATCAGGCATTTGAACGAATCTGTTTAATGAAGGACTAAATGACTTCAAACGTTCATTGCCATTCATTTGCCGCCACCTACTGGTTTGGTTTCATATTTAAAACTATCATTGCATTTTTCCCAACATTTCGTATTTGTATGTTTAAAAAAAAAACAATTTAGGTAACAATTCTAGTTTCTTATTATTGTTCTAACTGAATTAATTGAAACAATGGAAGATTTTGATGTGAAAGATGACATATTTAATAAGGTTAGTGAAAAAATGACAATTTAAGAAACAGTGGGAAATGACATCTGTTTTGTTATATACAGCAACTCCTTTTCAGTTAATTGTTATTTCAACCTCTTTTCTAGTCACAGATCACTTTATTTTGAGAGTTAAGTTGTTTAACTTTGTTCTGATTGGGGGAATTGTAATGTTTAATATTTTTTATTATGTAAATTTAAATATTAAAAAAGTACAGATTTTTGTTTGTATATGCTGTCAATTATAGTTTTTAGAAAGAAAATCGGAATCGGCAAAAATCGATATCGGCAGGTCACACTTACAAAAAAAAACGGAAATCGGAATCGGCCAAGAAAATTGCAATCGGTGCATCTCTAATAATAAAAATGCATGGCATAATAAACTGGTACTCCATAGTTTTGGTGGTTTTCAAGCCTTTGTTTCATACAGCTTTCCTCAAATCTTTCCTCCGTAGGCACTTCCACTGTCATCTGCAAACCTCTAGTCATTGATAGTCAACTCTTCATTATAGTAGCCCAACTGTTCGGCGGCTCGCACATCTTCAAGCGAGATGTCTCCGCAAACAAATTCATCAAAATCCAAGACATCGACATTCTGAAAGTCCGAAAGCCAAATGATGTGGAAATCTTCCACGTCGACGAAGAGTCTTTCTTCATCATAGCTGACAGCTCCAAAGCCGGCTCGACAACTATTTATAAATGGAACGGCAACGGATTCTACTCCCATCAGTCTTTGCACCCCTGGCACCGCGACACGGATGTGGAATATCTAGAGATTTCTGGGAAGCCTCATCTGATCTTGTCCAGCAGCTCTCAGAGGCCGGTCATTTACCAGTGGAGCAAGAGCACTAAGCAGTTCGAACGGCGCACAGATATCCCAGAGATGGAGGATGTGTACGCGGTCAAACACTTCACTGTGAAGAGCGAGCTCTACATATGTCTGACCCGCTTCATCGGCGACTCCAAGGTGATGAAATGGGACGGTAGCATGTTCAGTGAGATCCAGACCATGGCCTCTCGTGGCTCCATGGTCTTCCAGCCGTTCTCGATAGCCGACTGGCAGTACGCCATCCTAGGCAGCGACTACGCCTTTACTCGGGTCTATCGCTGGGATGCAAAGAAAAGACAGTTCATTCAATTCCAGGAACTGAACATTCAAGCTCCCAGGGCTTTTTCTCTGGTGTTTATTGAGAACAGGGAGTTCCTTCTTGGCTCTAGTTTTAAGGGGCAAACACGTATATATGAACACCTGGTCCTTGACTTGAGTAGCTGATTTGCTTCATTGGGACATTTGAGGACACTGATAAATGAGTGTCTCAATAGAACCTGTCCAAAGCACGTCCAGGTCATGTTTAACTCTAAAATCCAAAGAAAGAAAAACATTTTTTTGTTTAAAGTAAATGAAGCCTGTTTTAGGACTCAGTTCTCTATAGTGTTAACTATTTTTTTTGTACTGTAATACAGTAATAATTGCTTAGTGTTCAGGTGAAATATCGTCACCATGCCTAAAACGTGTAACGATCCTAAACAGGCTTCATTTTCTTTATGCAAATCACCATTTTTTTTTCTCCTTCTGATTTTGGAGTGAAATATGACTAGAAAGTTTTCGTCAGATTTATCCGCCTCTTCTCAGCATGAAGACTCTTTGCATGATGGTGCCGTTAATTAGGTACCGCCATTGAAATTATCCAAGGTTTTTTTTTACACGCTCTTCTCATTGCACTCATTCATTTCTGTGTTTTTACTCTGTGACTGCTGTACTTTCATTGAAATACGTGCTATTCTATTTATTAATGTTTATCTCAAATGAAACTGACAACTTGTTTACTGCTTTCTCAACTTGTAAACAGTGTATTTTTGCGTGGCAGCTGGGTGACATATTTGATAGACAGTTTGACCCTGAGTAGTGTGTAGTGTTACCGTTGTTTTTTTGCATTTGCCTGTTTGTTTGAATCCTAATAACTACTAACAGTACAACCAATGTCAGTACTTTTTTCAACAAGATGAAAATATGTGTAAAGAGATGAAGAGATTCTATCACGACATGATGAAACTGTGATGTTGTTCTACTGGATACGTTTATGCATGCAGTTTCATGCCTACATTTTGGAGACACTGATACTAACTTTAAATAAAGACTTTACAGAATGCTAAAATGTTTTATATTGTCCAATTGCAAGAGGCCATTTTTTCAGTGATTCAGGATGAAATTATTTTTTCTTTCTGCTTGGAAAGAGAAATTATGTGGGCTGTTGTTCTGTAAAAAGGCCATGACCATCCAATAATGTGTGTCACTGTCATTAGACTCATTTGGCATCTGTTTGCAATTCCATTAGGTCATTGGTGTCTAAACCTGCTACTGGAGGGCCACTCTTCTGCAGAGTTTAGTTGTAATTCAACACAACTAACCCAGTTAATCAATGTCTTCAGGAATATTAGAAACTCCAGGAAGGTGTGTTGAGCCCCCATCCTGGTTTTTAGATAAACAGGAAGTGATTATAACATTATATGACTATATGAATCTTATGGGGGGGAAAAACCATTTGAGAAGATAATTGGTGTATTTCCCTTTATTTTTAACTGTTTTTGTTCAGTGTACAAATAATCATGGTCAACTATTAAACATCTATTTTTATTGAAGTCCAAAAAGCTCAATAACAGGATACTAATGTATTTTTTCATCCTTGTTAAAGGCTCTGAGATGTTGATATGGATATCTGTGTTTCAGCTAGTGAATAATGTCAGGCTGAAGCCCATTTATTTGAAAGCAGATGAATTATATGGAAATGCAAAGCCAGAATCATGTTACTTTCATGTCATCAGTGCAAAATATAGGTTAGCAATGTAATTAAACCAACATACGATACCTATACCAGGGGTTGGCAAACTTTTAGCAGGACTGGGGTGAACTGCATTAGGCTAATATTGTAGACCTACTGATGTGTTGGGTTTTGCTCAATATGATGTTAAGTGCAGTGGGCTTGCTGCGGTTAAATATCTAAAAAAAGAGACGTCCTAAGTCCCAGACGAAACCTAAAATACTATGTAGAGGACACAAAATAATTTAATAATTATAATATGACCGCGTGGTGAACCTATGAACCAAACTAATTTTTAAACATGGTCTCCATGCTATGTACAAGTATAATTTTGGCTGTATTATTTGTGTCCCCTTCAAAAATTGCTCTTGAGAAATTGTACGTTTGTTTATTGTCCCATCACCCATCCTTCATATACAGTAGATGTTCATTCAAAAGCATCCATTCAAGGAGATCCATCAAACTAAACATCCTCTCTACACCATCTGCCCTGCTCATGACCCCTCTGCGACTCGGCCTCAGACAATGATAAAATATGACAAACCAATAAAGTGTTTAGATTTTAAACTATTGTCATAAAATGTCAATTTTTTTTGTCACATTAGCAACAATTTTAGTGGCAGTCTGGAGCCCTGAATAAGAGTCAGCTTATTTTATGATGACTGCAAGACGAAGACACATTAGAACAGTTCATAACATCTCACCGTTGCTGCGTGTAACTTTAATGCAAGCAGTCTTGATGTGTATAAATGTGTGAAGCAGCAGTATTGTTAGAAGGGGTAGGGTCCCACGATGATGGTGAGCCGCAGGAAAGAGCTTGAGCGATAGCTCATTGCTGTGTGTTGAGTGATCATCTCCAGATCAACGATCAGCTCCTGTGGGCCCTCCAGGGACTTGGTCAAGACCAGCATCGCACCAACGCTGCTGAACCGCTAAAGCAATTAACGACAAATACACGGACATCAGATATACTGCTGAATGGAGAAATACTCCCAAAAATATCAAATTTCCTCGATGGTGAAAAGAAATAAATGCAGTTAGACATTTTAATAAAAATGTACATTTGTTGCATGCACACTGACAAAATTAACAAGCAAACATGAGGTAGAGGTACAGCACTCTTTAGCCAGTTGTTGTTGTTAAAGAACCTGTATGTATATAGTATTTGTTAAATTCAGGTATCTCCATATTTTATATATATATATATATATATATATATATATATAAGGGCTGGGCAAGTTATCGCGTTAACGCATTAATTAATTAACGCCGACAATTATTTTATCGTGCATTAAC